GCTTCCAAAGATTTAAACCTATGAGATATAATCTACCAAATATATCTCTATCAAATCTTTACCAAATATCTACCATATATATCTCTATCAGATCTTTACGAAATATTTTCCAAATATATCTCTACCAGATCTAGGCAACATGCTCCATATCCCAACACCAAGGTATACTATATTCCAAACTTGAAGAGTAACATTATAAGTCTTGGTTAGATGACGAAAGAAGGAAGCAAAGTGAAGTTAGCTTGCTCATTCCTCAAGATTTTCGACAGAAATAAAACTTTGTAGGTGAAGGTAAAATAGTCCATAACCGCCTGTACAAGATACTATTGGAGACCAGCTAGCCCACCACTATATTGACGGCACTTGTAGACCCAACTTGGCTATAGCATGCAAGACATGGACACGTGAACTTTAGATGCTCAAAATGATGGGAGAGAAGAAGATGGCTATAGGGCTACCCGAAGTCATACACCCGAACCAACTATGTGAAAGTTACCTAGTCTTCAAACAAGCAAGACTGTCGTTTCTAGCTTAAACCAGTTTCCATGCTAAGCGACCACTACAACTAGTTCATGCAGATTTGTGTGGTCTGATCACCACATCATCGATTGATGGTAACAAGTATTTTCTCTTACTTGTTGAAGATTATAGTCGTTGGATGTGGGTGTACATGCTCAAAGAAAAAGGAGAGGCATTATATGCGTTTAAGAAGTTCAAAAGACTCGTTGAAAATGGGTCTGATCACAAGCTAAAAACCTTGCGTACCAACTGAGATAGAGAGTTCTTATCCCAAAACTTCTTAAAGTTTTGCGAAGAGGAAGGCATCAAGCGTCAACTCACCGCACCATACACTCCACAACAAAACGGTGTGGTTGAACGAAGAAATCACACCATAATGAACATTGCAAGAAGCTTACTCAAGAGCATGCAAGTCCCGACGATCTTCTAGGTCGAGGCAATACAAAATGTAGTTTATTTTCTAAATCGTTTACCGACAAAGGCGCTGGAAACTCGTAGCGTCTATGAAGCATGGTTCAGCAAGACACCTCACTTCGAGTATCTAAGAGTCTTCGGTTGTACAACACATGTTAAGATTGCAAAGCCATATATAAAAAGCTTGACGATGGAAGCCAAAAGATGGTGTAATTTGGCGTAGTGGATGGAACCAAGGCACACAAATTGTATGATCCGCAACATGAGAAAATTTATATAAGTAGATATGTCGTATTTGAAGAAGAGAAGAAGTGGGATTGGTGTAGCATTGGCGATAACAAGCAGACTGTTACAGAGTTCATTGCCTATGAAGAAGAGGGAGACACCAAAGACCAAGTGCATCGAGAGTGACACCAACAAGTCCACACATGTCATCACCAATGATACTGAAAGACATGATGAATTCTCTAGAACAAGAGAGATCAGGCGAGAGCACAGGAGGATCCACAATAGAAGATGGACTAAAGAAGTTTTTTTCTCTTGCTGAAATTTATGCCGATACACTTGAAGAAGAACTAGATCCCGATGAGTTAGTGTTGGTCGTGACCAAGGAGCCGACAACCTACCATGAGGCAGCAACTAAGACAATGTGGCAGGAGGTCATGCAAAAAGAGCTTGAAGCCATTGAGAAGAATAAGACGTGGACACTAACTAACTTACCGCTCAAATACAAGCCCATCGGTTTGAAGTGAGTGTTTAAGTTTAAGAAGAATAGTGAAGGAAATTTCATCAAGCACAAGCAAAACTCATGGCGAAGGGATATGTGCAACGACAAGGAGTTGATTTTGAGGAGGTTTTTGCACTTGTGGTTAGACTGGACACTGTAAGGTTGATTCTTGCCCTCGCAACTCAACACGGGTGAGAGGTCCATTTTATATGAACCAAGAGACATCATTCATACAATATACTTCAATAAAGATGTAAAGAAAATGTTGTCAAAATTATCAAAAGAGGTTGAATTCATGTCACATTTAAGAGGAATGAAGTTTGATAGTTATAAATTTTGGGTGGGTTAAAATTTAGAGTAATTTAGAGTTATTGTATTTTAAGACATTTTATTTACTTTAGGTTACATTTACATAATGGCTAATTATGGCCATTAAGTATGAATGTTACAACTTTTGGAATGCCTTTAATAGTTTCATTTTGAGGTTATATAAAGCTATGTATGTTGGATTTGTAAGTAGACTTGGAAAATATAGTAAAAGAAGCATTTGTGCTCTTCTTTAGCCAATGACTAAGTTTCTTTGCAATTCTATGTAGTTTAGGTTGCATGTAGAATCATTCAAGCTCGACATGATCAATCTTGCTTGTGGAGTGATTCGAATCTCAATCAAGTGTCCTTGTGTTGAGATATTTGATCAACAAGAATCATTCAAGCTAGACATGATCGATCTTGCTTGTGGAGTGATTCGAATCTCAAACAATGTTCTTGCCTTGAGATATTCGATCAACAAGGTAATCCGAATCTTATTCCCCTTGTATTGATTCCTTATCTTATCACCATCACTTGGACGTCAAATCAGCATTCCTAAATGGTGACCTCCAGAAGAAGTGTATGTTGCCCAACTTGAAGGGTTTGTCATCAAAGCCGAAGAACACAAAGTGTACAATTTGTCAAAGGCCCTCTACGGTTTACGGCAAGCACCAAGGGCGTGGAACATATGTCTAGACAAGAGCTTAAAGAGTCTAAACTTCATGAAGTGCTTGCAAAAACAAGTAGTGTATACAAGAAACAATGGGGCTGAAACACTCATAGTTGGCGTGTACATTGATGACCTGATCGTCACTGGTACAAGCATGGAAGGAGTCAAAGAGTTCAAGTAGCAAATGATGAAAGAATTTGAGATGACTGATATCGGGTTACTCATGTACTAACTCGGTATTGAAGTGGACCAAAGGAAAGAGTGCATCATGCTAAAGCAATTGGCCTATGCTAAGAAGTCGTTGCAGCAATTTAAGATGACAGAGTGCAATCCGACCAAGTATCCCATGGAAGCAAAGTTACAACTCAGGAAAGATACTGAAGGAAGCTTGATGAATTTCACTGAGTATAGATGTGTCATCGGAAGTCTAAGGTATTTGACTCATACTCGTCTGGACCTTTCATATGTTGTTGGAATAGTAAGTAGGTACATGAAAAAGTCCACTATGATGCATCATCAAGCAGTTAAATACATTCTCCGCTATGTGAAGGGAACCACAAGCTACGGGTTGAAGTATAAAAAAGGGCGAGGTCCTAAAGAACTAGTCGGTTTTACCGATAATGATTTAGCTAGAGACATTGATGATAAAAAAAGCACTGCAGGAATGACATTTTATCTCAATGAAAATAGATCTCTTGGCAATCTCAGAAGCAGCAGATTGTGACACTATCTTCTTGTGAGACCGAGTTCATGGCAACAACTGCGGCATCTTGCAAGCATTGCAGTTGAGAAATTTGTTGAGCAAAGTGACTAGAAGTGAACTAAAGTTGGTACCTCTCTATGTTGACAACAAATCTGTGATTGCACCGATGAAGAATTCGGTATTTCACGGACGCAACAAACACATTGACACTCGCTTCCACTTCATCTGTGAGCGTGTTGAGAAGAGACAAATTGTTGTGGAGTTCGTATGTACTAGAGAGCAACGTGCAGATATTCTAACCAAGACCCTAGCAAGGACTAAGTTTGCAGAGATGCGAGAATTGTTGGGAGTGAAGAATCTCGAACAAAATCAAATTTCTTAACTTATATAGTAATTCTAGGAGAATTGTTAGTAGACTTGGTAGAGTTACTAACTTATGGAGCAACTATAGGAGAATTGGTAGTAGTTGCCAAATAAACTTCTTGGTATCATGTAGTAAAACTCAATGGTCGATCAGCACATGGGTGTCGCTCCCTCAAACTAGGATGACTATATCGTCCCGTGGGAGAGTTTGTCATCTAACTTCCTATGGATGATGTTCATGCTAGCAAACACCATACTATTCTACCAGATGATTATAAGGTTTTGTATATAAACCAAGACATCAATTATGCAATATAAACTTGAAGGAAGATGTGAAGAACATGTTGTCAAAATTATAAAAAGATGTTTCAATTCATGTCACATAGAAGAAGAATCACGTTTCATTGTTATAAATTGTGGGTTCATAATTCTGAGTTATGGTGTTTATTTAATATATTTTAAGGCTTATTTACATAGTAGCTAATCATGACCCTAAAGTATACATGGTGGTTAACTATGGTCTTACAATAGTTACTCATATGTTTACATTCATGACCCTAAAGTATACATGGTGGTCTCACAATAGTTATTCATATATTTACATGTTCATGTATGCACTCAATTTTGAAAAAAAACACTATAATTCTCAAAAGACAAATTAATTTGCTATCTACTACTACTTTTATATAGTGCTATAGAAAAAACATAAAAATGTGATTCTGACCCGTTAAACAAAGACAGTTTCTTTTAGGACAGTTAAAAGTATTTTTAACTCCTTAGCAATGTTATAAATGTTATGTCTAGGTGAAATGAAGATAAAACGACAGAAAAGTGAGAGAATGAAAGTTATGAATAACGTGCCTTTAGAACTCCACAGACAAAATACCAAAAATGAAGAAAAAATGCAAAAAAAAAAAAAAAAAAAAAAACATTCTATATAATTTTCTCTAAATCTTGTCTTCTTTCGGAACCTCTATTACCTAACCTAAACTTTAAAGTAGAGTAAATGAATAAAATCCTAAACCTAAACAAAAACATGAGTCAATGAAATTTTGAACCTTAGAAACTCGGGTTTCACTATCTCTTTGATTGAACAAGGTAAATAGGTGAAGTAGCTCTTTTCTTGAACGAGGTAAAGCGGGAATGAGCAACGACGCAATGAGAAGATGAGGTAAACATAAATATAAACCACTCTTACATATATGGATGTTACGCACGAACATATAAAAATATGATGAAAATTTTAACATCTAACTGTGTAACCAATCTCTCTAGCACCCTATAGAGAAACCGTTATGAAAATCATTGTTTTTTTTCTCAAGAGAAGGCTCTTGCTTAACACAAAAATAACATAGAAACATTTAATTTGTAATAGCCTGATTCAAAATTTCATGTCAAAATATGCATGCTTTTGAATCATGAAGTCTCCTTCCACAATCTTCTTCAAAATGAATGGATCATTATCCTCCTGGACATGAGGAGAAGTAGAAACTGATTTTGCTATGAATCAAGACATTTTGAACATTATATTTTTTTGTATATCATATCTCATTTTTGGTCCCGGACGCCAATTCAAATGGCTACTTAGCTCCACATCCTCCTAATGGTTCTTGCAGTAACACGGGAAATCAAACGCCTTGCGACCTCGACTGGAAGGTTAAGTATTTGTTGCTGTGATTCTGGTGGGAGCTACAAGAAAGGCATCAAAGAGAAATCGTAAAAACATTGAATGACAGACCACCATATGCACACTACGAATTAGAAAAAAAAAAAAAAAAGCACTGAAGTACTAATTGTCTCAAAATGTCACAAGAAAAGAGAACAAACATCTACACAGTCATAAATTCTTTGAAAGTTGCCTCAAATTTAAATTTAATAGCCATTTCCAACTTCTTTATAGTCCAAAGAACACTAGGCCAAGTCAATATCATACACAAAATAACTCTTTTCTTCAAGTGCATTTAAGTGCTCGTATTATAACATCTCAAAAGTACACACCACATGATAAGACGTTGGACATGTTGGATGCAAGTCCCATATTGGCTAATTTAGGGAATGATCACGAGTTTATAATCAAGGAATACTCTCTCCATTGGTATGAGTCTTTTTGGGGAAGTCCAAAGCAAAGCCATGAGAGCTTATGCTCAAAGTGGACAATATCATACTATTGTGGAGAGTCGTGTTCATTTAACATGGTATCAAAGCCCTGCCCTAACTTAGCCATGTCAATAGAATCCTCAAATGTCGAACAAAGGACTCCAAAAGAAAAGGAGTAAGCATCGTAAAAAATGACTAAGACTCCAAAAGAAAAGGAGTCGAGCCTCGATTAAGGGGAGACATACTTTGTTTGAGGGGAGGTATTGGATAAAAGTTCCACATTGGCTAATTTAGGGAATGATCATGGGTTTATAATCAAGGAATTCTCTCCATTGGATGAGCCCTTTTGGGGAAACCCAAAGCAAAGCCATGAGAGCTTATGCTCGAAGTGGACAATATCATACAATTGTGTAGAGCCGTGTTCATTTAACAGGACAAACATTCTTATAGAGCAAGAGAAGAGATTTTAACAATTGCATTTTTAACATGTAGCAAGCGATGAACAAACATGTGGACTAGTCATGATATCTATAGATGATATTTTGACACATGACTAAATTCCTAGAAATTTTTATGATCAATAAATAAATGTGAGGTAAATATTGGCAAGTACATACATTAGATCTGTACCTCAGGAATAACAGAAAGTACGAATAAAATTTCCTGTACATATGCTTCATCAAACCCCGTTATCTGATTCTTATTAGCTCTCTGCAAAGTTACCTATCATGGTGAAAAAGGTCAACAAGATAGCATAAGGTTCAAGAAACAACACAATAGGTAGAGAAAAAAGAGACAATAATGTGCCATAATTAATTCAAAAACATTTTTTAGCTCTAATATAAAAACTTGAGAAAACTCATATCCATGATAGATTATGTGCTAGGGCATTGAGTATATAATATAGATTCTAATATATTCTCATTCGAAGCTGGAATTTCGGGTAATAAGTATATGCCAAATCTTATAGGTCATAAAAAATAGAGAATAAAATAGATTTCTTTTACTTGTTTCTATTAAACCACAAAAACACTCCTTTTGTTCAAATGAGGTCATTTTTCCACCTCTTTTTGGACTAATATTCAGGAACTAAGAAGTGTATAAACCATAATTTTTCCAGTTTCTTTTTATAAAAGGACCTAGTTTGGTCTACAAATTCTTAATTTCATTAGTAATGCTAGTAAGAGTAAAGGACCAACCTCATTAGAAAGATTTTCTTGAGATCCTGACAGCAAGAGTATAAGACGATTCAATGTTCTCAAGTTGTTCACATCTTCATTGGTCATCATCGATACAGAAATTGAGGAGCCAAAAGGTATCCTTGCAGCAGTTATAGAATTTATAGAATCCAATGTTGCTAATCCCAATGCATCCAAACCCTGACAATACCCACACACAAAAAGCAAAAAGAAAAACGAAGAGATAAAGGAAATATGGTATGCATCAAGAAAACTATACCGATTTATAATTAAATCATAGTACACAATATTCACGGGACTGCCTAGATAGGTTCCAATACCTCCACTAAAGAAACACAAAGATGTATAAAGTAAACCAAACTGTCAATTGTTCACGAAAATTAGTCATTGGAATTTGGTAACAATTTTGTACAAAAAGAATGAATATTTCTTAGAAATTCTAAGATGATTGATCAAAACATAAGTTTCAAGACATGAGAACATTTGAGTGGTAAAATAATACCTTTTCTTATAATAGACTATCAATCAAATTAAAATCATGTAAGGAGGGGAAAATGTTAGGCCAAAAATTTACCTTGGCTATTTCTTGGAGAAGTAAATCTCTCAGGAAGGAGCCCTGTATAATATGTTAGATTTTTTTAAAAGAAAAGAAAAAAAATTAAAGTCACTAATCATAAAGGGATACTTTAGAGATGTTACTTAAAATGCAGACAAAAAAGCTAGTTCATACCTTATCAGACAATGCAAAGGAAAGGACTTCCTTGACTACTATTTTGCTATCCGAGTTCTCTACAACTTTTCTCACTGAGGACTTCTCGATTCTAGCACGAAGTGACTGCCAGAAGAACGATATCATTGTAATATATAAACACACATTAGAATGAAAATTATTATCAATCATGCAGAAGATGTTTACAAGCATGGATGAATTTAATGAGCAAGGGAGCAACACAACAAGTCCTTAAGGTGGATAATTCAAGTTCGGATGAATTTAATGAGCAATGGAGCAACACAACAAGTCCTTAAGGCGGATAATTCAAGTCCCCCAATCAACAATTAAATCCCTTATTCCGTTAGGAATCACGACTCTCCACAGTGGTATGATATTGTCCACTTTGAGCACGAGCCTTGATGGCTTTCAAAGGCTTCTCTAAAAGGCCTCATAATGTATTCCTTACTTTATGAACCCACAATCATTCCCTAAATTAGCCAATGTGGGACTCTCTCCCAACAATCCTCAACAATCCTCCCCTCAAACAAAGTACACCATAGAGCCTCCCCCTGAGACCTATAGAGCCCTCGAACAACCTCCCCTTAATTGAAGCTCGACTTCTTCTCTAGAGCCCTCGAACAAAGTACACCATTTGTTCGACACTTTAGTCACTTTTGACAACACCTTTGAGGCTTAAAATTCTTTGTTTGACATTTGAGGATTTTATTAACATGACTAAGTTTAGGGCATGACTTTGATACCATATTAGAAATCACAACTCTCCACAGTGGTATGATATTGTCCACTTTGAGCATAAGCTCCGATTACTTTGTTTTGGGTTTCTCCAAAAGGCTTCATATCATCTTTACTTATAGATCCACGATCATTCCTAAATTAGCCAATGTGGGACTCTCTCCCAACAATCCTCACCATACTCAACAGATGGTTGCCAAAACACATCCAGTGAATCTTTGTCATAGACAATATTAGACCTTTTTGTTCCTGACTTGACATGCTTTGAGAATTATAACAATTACTCATCGTTCTTACATCTATAATCATGTACAAGAAAAAGCCATGAAACATTCTTGACACATTCTATGTCATCGACTATTCAACCTTCACGTTCAGAGTTTCTTGAATTAACCCAAATTCATTCTTCATAGAGTTCTGAAACTCCATCATTCCCTTTCCTGTCGCTTCCTAATTGACCAAGAATATAACTTACCATACAAACCAAGTCATTTGAGGTCCTTGGACCCTCCCTCTTGAGATACAACTCGCATCCTAACTAAATACTAATATACCCATAATAACATTCTAATCATTTCAGTCCTTGGTTCCACACGATTAGTCATTTTCAATCACAACCTGCTCTAATACCAAAAATTGATAAGAACTAGATTTTACTACATATCACTAAAAATAGACAAGGAAAGATTTAGAGAGCTTCTCATTTCTTCGACGAAATAAAAACCTCTTCAAGTCTCCAAAAGTTTTACTTATACAATTCAATATCAAGAAAACTAAATAATGACTTAAATCAATTTTTCCTTGCACAATCAAACCTTCAGTTGGACGATTTATCAGTTCTTCACAATTTCTAGAGATATTAACACAATAATTAAAAAAAGACAAATCAAATATTTCGACTTCAATAGGAAGAAAGCCACATTTATTTGAAAAATCTTCACTATAAACGTGTTCATAGTTAAAAAAATTCAAAGGTTTTGAAGAACATTATATAAATAAATATATAAGCTTCTTAATAAGTTTTTCTAATTTCATACCTTAGATATTATTTTAAGTTAATTAAAAAGTTTAAAATGTAAAAAACGAATAAAATGTTCCTTAAACAATAAAACACTAAAAGAGATTTTATAACATTGATGAAATTATCATGTAATAAAATTCAAAATTATCATGTAATAAAATTCACCAAAACTTTGAATTAAAATTAAATAGGAAATATAAAAACAATAAATTTTTAACAACACATGGCTCAAAAAGTGTAAAAGAAGTATTTTCGAAATCTAATTAAATAATAGGGTCAAGCTTTGTACGTTGTTAAAAAAAAGAAAGTGATTAAAGAAGATAGCATTATTCCAACAAGGGTCTCAAAAAGAGAACTTGAGTTTAAATACCCTTTCCCAAATTTAAAATAAATAAGTGAATAAATTAACTTTATTAAACAATTGAACCTTAATTTGAAAGTACAAAGCATTTTGATCCATATATTGATACAATAAAATAGAAAATCCCACCTCCGTGATCAGAGACTCCAAACGATCAATTCTGAAAACTCCTTCCTATCAAGAAAATATAATGTTATATTTAAGAAGGGACTAAAAAAATTCAATGAACTAATCTTTATTTAAAAAGCAAAAAATGTTTCACTTCATAAAGCAGGGATGTCAAGGAGGATTTGAGCTTGGGCGAATTGTCGGTGAGTACTTTTCTAGCAATCCATGGATATGTACTGCCTAAAACTTTGTAATTTGGGTCAAAACTGACAGCAATTCCCTCCAATACTGCAAGGCTAAATCCATCATCGAAGTAAACCAATGATTTTATCACCTCGTTGATAACATAAAACTACTAGTTTTTACCATGCAAAGTACATATCTCACAAAGAGTAAGTATGACTACCTTCTAATAACGAGAGAAAAATATGAAGGTATCCGGAATTTGAATTTATACCTGCAGGAAAATTTAAAAGAATATCAATGGGAATCCAAAAGTAAGCTAAATTTTAAATTTCTTATGTGAAAAGGAAAATATTACTCTTTTAGCCCAGTGAAAATATTACAACATGACAAATTTAAACTTCTATTAATACTCTGCTTTGACAACAAGCCCACATCCAACCACCATTGCCCTTGGGTACCAACGATATCCTTAGAAAAAAGTAGCAATAGTTGAGGATTTAAGTGATTGAAGGGGTAGAAAACAAGCTAAGATGGCTTGCCATGTGATCTCTATGTTGACGTTTGTCTAGTCTAATCATCAAGATGGCTCTAAGGTTGAATGCACCACCTAATCATTGAAGCAAAGCATGAATAGATTGCACACACGCATGCATCGAAGGCGCACGCACACTCATGAGACCTCCAAAGGAGTTGCACAGCGTGTGGACGCTAGCCCTGGCCTAAGTAGGCAGCATTTGCATGTGTCTGCCCATGCCAACTTCATTCCTCGACCAACATGTATGCATCCACCCCTTGCTGGGTTGCATCCACACACCAATCAACCACCCAAATGCCTCACCTACTAGTCCCTAAGCCCTACCAACGCACTACATGCACCAAGCTGAACATAATCTCTACGAATCTCCGAACACTTCTAGGGCTTTTACATGTACTTTTATGTTTTTTTTAGAATTGAACTCCTTTTTAGACCTTATCCCCCATCCTTGGTGTTAGCCAAACTTATGCCTTCTAATAGTTTTAAGCTTTCTTTGTTCAGACTTAACTTTCTCACTCACTTAAATTGATTAAAATTTCTTAAGTTGAGTGAGCAAGTTAACTTTTCTTCACTTTGTAACCTAGACTTGAAAATACAAAGAATAATGAAACTAAGATTGTGATTGGATGGTAAGTGTCGAGAAATACGGTACATTGTGGTTCCTAGGTTTCCGAGAAGGTCTCCGAAGCTAATACTTCTTACTCCTTTAGAAACAGCATTTTGGAAGACAGCTGCAGCCAAAATATACGTGAGATTAATACCTAATCCATGATAACCCTTTAGAAAATTACCATAAAACTCAAGAAAGCAGTTTATTGATCCACGAGATTTTTAGATAAACAAAAAACCTGTTAATGCCTGTGTGACTGCTTGTCTATCTGCCGTTGGTGGAAGAAGCCTATAGAGACAAGAAAAAAGTCACCCCAAAAGGTTAAGTATCATATGAATTATCTATAACAGGAAACAAATAGAGGGAAAAGAGGGAAAAGCAACAATACCCAAGGGTGACAAAATCCTTGGCTAATGCATCAAAATCACGGTTTACAAGATGGAGACAAGCTTCAATAAATCCATCGCGAAGCTCTTGTTTAAATTCACCCATCATACCAAAATCTGACAATAAAGCAGGTGCATAAATATTAGCTCATCCAGACATATGGTCTTATCATTGTATGTAAAAAAAAAAAAAATTAAACATGAGAAAAAAGTTTGACATTGGTATCTGGTTCAAGCCTGAAACAAAAAGTTTGACAACAATCATAAAACTGTTTTTGGTTCGCATAATATGAAATTTCACAATAGAACAATGGCTTTCTATTTTTAAATTATTTTAAAGTAATACACCTTATTATAACTTCTAACAGTGAAGGGGCAAAAACTTAAGACGTACAATCAAGCTCACTAAAAGTAGAAAAGATGATATAGTTACGGATAATACCTAAATAAGCTAATTTTCCATCAGAGGTGCGAAGAAGATTTCCCGGGTGAGGATCTGCATGATAGAATCCATATTCTAGAAGTTGATTGAAGGAGCAATATACCCCAACCTGATTGGGACTAGGAAAGAGATTCTATTTAGAGATTACAAAAGGAAACGCTACACGAGAAGATTACTTGAGAAACATATAATCTATTTGTAGAATCTCAATTAAGTCTTGAAAATGACCTCGACCAAATAAAGATCCTTCACTTCTGTTAACTTCTGGCCCTACATAAATAATATGGAAGATAGGTAAGCAAAGATCCTATTAAACACTCAAAAAAAGAATTATATTCATAAACTAATAGATTCATGTTACAATGTGAAATGAAAATTGTTGAAAATTGTTTTTATTAAAAGAGAAAAAGTAATTGGCCCTAGCAAAATAGTCTCTCAACTTGATTGCCTTCCTTCTCACAAAATTTAGTAAGGTTAAACTTACAAGTTGCAAGGATACCGCAAAAGTCAAAATGAGAGTTTTGAGTTTTTATTCATGAAAAGGTTGTTGATAACAATGCGTCTTCGTAAACTAACTAAAACAAACTCCTCATGCCCTTTACACAAACTAACTAAAACAAGATCATAGGCATAAAAAGCCTCCAATCTTTATATTGAAAGAGTTATTAGAAAACTTTCTTTAGTGTAAGCACCAAAGATCTTTTAGCAAAATCTCATCTTTCAAATAAATCAACCATTGATCCTTCTGTGAAAAATCTTTAGTTTCTTTCTAACCAAATACTTAAAAGAATAGCAAAATTAAAGAAACCCAAACAAAACTGAACAAGTCTTAGCATGAATGTTCCATAAAACAACCCAAAGATCTCGACCCATTAGCTCAAAATGGTTGGGTGAAACAAACAAGTTCTTGTTTCAAACAAACCATACATACACCAAATGGCTCCATCAAGTATTGGCAAAGAGTCTCAAACTTCCTTTTAAGGAAATTGATTTCATAAAGAAGCTTCTCCTTCAAAGTTCTATTCAATTCCTTACTCAAAGCAAAAAAATTAGCACTAGATACTAGATTTAACTCCATAAGAAAGGTTGAAAATAAATCTCAAAGAAAGCCTCGAAAGATAAAATTCACGCATCTTCAAAAGGAATAAATAGAGGAAAAAGCCAAAAACTTCTTGAACTTCCAAAAAACAAACCAGTTTTCTCCAAAAATGATAACCAATAAATAAAATCATTAAAAATAAAGAAATTGGACAACGTTGGCATAAAAAATTCCTATCCAACGATAATTTTGTCATCTTCAATCTTATCGATATGTCGATCAATAGTAACTTTACCCATTACTATCTCAAAGGATGAGTCAAGCAATAGTACCTTTACCCATTCCATAATAAGGACCCTACGAGTTGTGTGCTCGATGAACATTTGAGGAACCAACACATCTTGCAAATTTCCATACAATTCTCTGCTCGATCAATTGTTGAATAGCATAACTCAGCAATATGTATGACTTTAGGATGAAATTAAATTATCAACATGTGTTGGTTATAAATATGCTATTTATGTGTAATTATTAATGATTTTATTTTATTCTAACTCCCATTATTTATTTGTATGTATTGTGTCTTTCTTCTATGTGATAAGAATATGTATCTTAGTATTAAATTATTGAAATATGAAGATATTTTTATTCCATAAAAATTAAGAATGTAATTTTGCATCTTAAGCCCGTCATAAACATTTTGTCCCAAGACACGTTTATAAAGAAGGATGCTGTCAAGCTAAGATATCTACTTGTCACATAATTTACGGGATAAACATATTGTTAATATCACTATCCCCTAAACTAGCTTGGCATTATTAAAAATGAGCTTCATGGTGATCTTCAAAAAGAAGTCTATAATAAGAAGCTATATGGATGATTAAAGCAATGTCCACATGGATGGTTGAAAAAATTTAATCAGGTGATTGAAAACTTTGGTATGAGGAAAACACCCTAGATCATCCTATCTATTTATAAACAATATGAGAGTGGTTTCACATCCTATTACTTTTATATGTTGATGATATTTTGATGGTATTATCAAATCATTCTGTTTTTTATAAACGGTATGAGAAGTGTGTCATCTTATTAGTTGTATACGTTATAGATGATACTGTTATTACAAGTGATGACACATAAGACATCAAATCACTTATGACTTACTTAACACATTTCTCCTTTGTCAATTCCATACAAAAAAAAAAAAAAAAAAAAAAAAAAAGTTGGAATTGTTGACAAAGTTCTTGGGAATTGGGGTAATAAGAAGCAAGGGAATTTTGTTATCACATGAAATATATACTTGACTCGTAGACTGAAACAGGAAAGTTCAAGGATAAGCTATGTAAGTACCACAATGGTAACTAATTTAGAACTCCTAAAGGAGGAGACATTCCTGAAAGATCTTGAAAAACATAGGAGGCTCGTGGGGAAAACTTGAATATCTTACAGTGACTCAACCATAGCTTCTTGAGTGAGTATTATGAGCTAGTATAACTGCTCCTACGGTTGCCTATTAGGCTGGACTGGAACAGATTATGTGCTTTTTAAAGGTTGCTCATGGGCGTGGTTTATACAATGGTCATAAGATGTTGCTTGGGCATGATTTAATACTATGGATATGGTGGTAATTTGATTTTCTGGAAGAGTAAAAAATTAAATGTAGTGTCACATTCAAAGTTGAATAAAAATATAGAGCAACATAGTATGTGTGTAAATAATGTGAATATATCAACTTCTTATTGAGTGGAGATTTGATATCATAACACCGATTAAATTGAGTTGTGATAATCAAGTACTTCTTGATATTGCATCTACTCTAGTATTCGTGAGAAAATTAAACAATTGAGGTTGAATCTACTTTGTTTGTCTGTGACAAAATACAGCAAGGTTTGGTATGATTAATATGTATACTCCCAACTTAAGGGAAAGTCTTATAGTGCTTATTACTTTCTTTTACTTGGGTTGAACTCTTGTTTGTAAGTATCTTTAGTTAAAGAAAAATTACTTTTTATTCATACTCTCATGACCCAAAAAGAGTACTCAAACTATATACCTTAAGAAAATCCATAAGTGTCCCCCGTTAATCATATCTAAAAAAATCCATTAGTGCCCCCCGTTAATCATATCTAAAAAAATCCGTAAGTGCCCCCCGTTAATCATATCTAAGAAAATCCATAAGTGCCCCCCGTTAATCATATCTAAGAAAATCCATAAGTGTCCCCCGTTAATCATATCTTGGTGTCCATTTTTTTATGGGAAATGACATTTGATTGATCAAGCTACAGTCATATAGTCCTTTACTTTTCCGACAAACGTAAAAAAAAAAAAAAAAAAAAAAAAAAAAAAAAAAAAAAAAAAAAAAACCCTGCAACAAGTGGAGACTCTTCCCCATAATGGAAAAAATATCCAATATATAGAACTTGATCTTACCTGAACTTAAGACCGTTTTTTGCTTCTCTCCTGTAATCCATCTCCTGCATTCAATGTGATTTACGATTTACCTGTATTCAATCTTAACTTGAGAACAATCATCCAAAAAACTTCAAACGGAAAATGTAAAAACTAGCATGATTGGATGAGGTATAATAATTTGTAAAGGACAAATCTTCTTTGGTTATTTTGATGGGTGTTCTCAAAAAATAGAGATTGGAATTCTTAAAAGAAGTCTATGGAATTCTATGGGTGCTTGTCCCTATTTTGACTACTGTATTGGGAATCACAATCGGCGTACTAGTAATTGTATGGTTAGAAAGAGAAATATCCGCCGGGATACAACAACGTATTGGACCTGAATATGCTGGTCCTTTGGGAGTTCTTCAAGCTTTAGCAGATGGCACAAAACTACTTTTTAAAGAAAATCTGCTTCCATCTAGAGGTGATACGCGTTTATTCAGTATCGGACCATCCATAGCAGTCATATCAATTTTACTAAGCTATTCAGTAATTCCTTTTGGTTATCGCCTTGTTTTAGCAGATCTGCAGATCGGTGTTTTTTTATGGATTGCCATTTCAAGTGTTGCTCCCATCGGCCTTCTTATGTCAGGATATGGATCCAATAATAAATATTCCTTTTTAGGTGGTCTACGAGCTGCTGCTCAATCAATTAGTTATGAAATACCATTAACTCTATGTGTATTATCAATATCTCTACGTGTGATTCGTTGAGACATAAACTTCTCCCCCCTTTTTTTTGAGAAAAGGGGTGATGAATAGATATCTTCATTTTTATATTCATTATTCGGATTAATGAACTAAATCAGATAGTTATATGAGTGAAAGAAAACTGCTTAGATAAATAAAAATTAGCAGTCAAAATATTGAGTCTCATTTTCTATGTATAAGAGTTAAGCAGAAATAAACATAGGCGCAAGAGAGCCTTTATCCCAAGATTGGTTGACTAGTTATCCTGTCTTGAAGCGGACTCAAAAGATCAATCGGATCGAGTTTTCACTATTATTTGGATGTACTAACATATATGTATTACCATAACACGGCTGATTGAGCAAAAATGAGTGGATGGTTAGAAACACCAAGATATACAAAGGATTAGTAATTGGAGATTTTCCAAATTATCCAAAAGAGAGAGAAGGACATTTTTGCAAAATGCATAATATAAAAAGAATACGAATTGGGGCTTTAAGTTTGTAGAAATGATCAGGCAGTACTCCCCACGATTCCGATCCAGAGTATGCGCCTATCCACCCATTAAATAAATAACTATCGGAAACGAAATAATCCCTTATTTAGTAAGTCCCCTTTTTCTCAGAAAGAAGAATAGGAACGAAAAAAAAAAAATGGAAAGAATCCAATTACAACAAAAAAAGAGATCTTTTGTATTGTTTCTTATCTCCATCTATTCCTATATTCATTTCTTTCCTATCTCCCTATTCATAGAGATAGAATTCGTGTCCGAATTCATGAACTAATGGAATAGCCAATTTGTTTTTTTCGTAAGTGAAAACGATGGGTTATTGATATTTATAATAAATAGTATTTTAGTGAAGAATTAAGTTATTACTCAACAAAGAATTTTTTTTTATTAAAGGATGAGATCAATTCAGAAGTACCTTTTTTCTTTATTATTAGAACAGACAGAATTCTATTGGGTTAATTGGGGGCCACACGATAGATTTTTATCCTATACTCTTCTACAAAAAAGACATATTAAGATAAATAATCCCGACACGC